GCCGTCCCCGCGCCGCCTGTGGGCTGGGCCGTGGCCGTGGCCGTCCCCGCGCCGCCTGTGGGCTGGCCTGGTACCTGTAAGCACAAAGCGCGCTCTGGCTGGCTGCAGGGCTGCTGGGAGGGTCTGAGCACTGCCGGAGCAGCCCTGCTGCCCATCTCTTGCAGGGTGCAGCAGTTGGCGCATGCATTGCGGACAGTCCTGGCCCTGGGATTTCTCCCTCTGACCTGCTGCGGCGTAGTAGAGTGACTGGGGCCAGGACACAGCAGGTGCTGCTGCTGTTGGAGTTGCTGATCCTCCTCCTCTTAGGCTGCAAGTGTCCCTTGATAGCCGCTTGCTAGCAGGCAGCTCAGCCAGGCCAGGCACCAGAGGTGTCTGCAGTAGCCAATGTTCCACGCCCCACAGCACAGGCAAAGCCATCCTGGTTGTTGGGCTCTTTCTCTGATGTGGCAAGTGGCATCCGGAGACGTCTCCTCCAGCCTGGACCATGGGGACCCCCAACCACAATGGCGCTAGCGCTGTGTCCCTATGGAATGAGCTGGGGGGAGAGGGCAGGAAAGTCACCCGGAGCAAGGCCTTGGGAGGCTTAGTAAATGGTTTATACAGCTCCAGTGTCCTCCTCCAATCTCTTCAGGGCCCTCCTGAAATTAGCTGCTGCTGGGCTTCTTGCTATTGGTACCGATCCTCAGCCGGGTAGCTTGTGCTGCGTAGAATGTTTGCTCCTGAAGTGCTATAGGTTTTACTAACCCGTGTTTCCAGTGTCTCCATTGTATTCATGTTCTCTTTGCTCTTTTGAAGGTTCCAAGAGAGTGACGAACAGGGCGACGCTGTGGTATGTGCCGCTTTCTCTAAAGAACGTGGACAAAGTCCTTGAAGTTCCTCCCATTCAGGTAACGACGTAGCTGTGAGCTCAGAGTCCTCCCGCTCAGAACTGTGTGCGTCCGTTTGAAGGGTTTGGAGCAGGGTGGGTCTCATGCTGCTGTCTTAGGCTTTTTTAAACACGGAAAGTCAATGTGGCTGCCTCCTGGCCAGTCGGCTCTGGGTGCAGCATGTGAGTAACACTAGCGTTGCCATTAGGATGTCCTGTCTCGGGGGTGGGCAGTTTCGCGCCCCAACCTCCCATTAAGGAAAAGATGCTCTGCTGGATGTAACTGTCCTCGCCACATCTTTGACTGCACTGAAGCAGGTGGCAGTGATCTCCGGCAATACTGCCCCACAGAAAATGAAACTCTTAGCTCCATTGCCATGTGGGCCTGGGATTTAACCAGCTAATGCAAGAGAGCCGGGCATACATTAAGCCAGTGAAGTCTCTTCCTGCCCCTTTACCTGGGAGGGCTGCCAGGTGTGGCTGGAAGGAGAGGAAGCCACTGCTCAGGACTCAGCTTTCTCTCTGGCTGTGTCCAGACGGGTTTGTTGCTGCTTAGAGGCCACAAGCAAAGCTCCATTTCCTGAGGTGCAGGGCCCCAAACACGTAGCCATGGAACTGGCTTGGGACCTGTGTGCACCCCATAAAACCGGTACTAAACTTACTGGCTAAAACAGCTGTACTTTGAAGAGCAACACCATGACAATGGGAGAAGTGTCTGACCTCGAGAGATTCAAGCGCAGGGCTGAAAGGGGGGCTAGTGACACGTCCTTAGAGATAATGATGTAAAAATAAAGGCTGAGACTCACCATAAACTCTTTTTCTAAATTAATGTATGTTCAGGGCAATGTGTTGTACAACCACATGCATCCCAGTAACTCTCTCTACCTGGTTACGACTAATCAGTGGCTGATAAGAGTCAAGTTAGAATTAGCTTTTCACCCCCCCAGCCGCGCGTCCACGTGTCCTGTAATTCTTTCTCCTACAAGCCAAGTTCCAGCATGTATGCAGTCCTCTGTGTCTCGTGGTTGGCCCCTTGTAGTGTCAGCAAGAACATAAGAGCATCCGTACTGGGTCAGACCAAAGGTCCATCTAGCCCAGTATCCTGTCTGCCCACAGTGGCCAGCACCAGGTGCCCCAGAGAGGGTGGACCGAAGACAATGATCAAGCGATTTGTCTCCTGCCATCCTTCTCCAGCCTCTGACAAACAGGCCAGGGACACCATTTCTATCCCCTGGCTAATAGCCTTTTATGGACCTAACCTCCATGAAATTATCTAGCTTCTCTTTAAACTCTATTATAGTCCTAGCCTTCACAGCCTCCTCTGGCAAGGAGTTCCACAGGTTGACTACACGCTGTGTGAAGAACTTTCTTGTATTAGTTTTAAACCTGCTCCCCATTAATTTCGTTTGGTGTCCTCTAGTTCTTCTATTATGGGAGCAAAGAAAAGTTATTTATTAATCTGCCCCCTCCACACCACTCATGATTTTATAAAGATCCCGCATGCAGAGATGACCGAGTGGCCAAAGCATCCGGTTTGAAATACCTGGGTTCTCTAGGGCTGCAGGTTGTCTGGAGGCTTCCCAGCTCTTCTGTGCCAAAGCGCTGACCAGGTTTGCTCAGTATTGTGACCTGGGGCTGGAGCCAGTCTCTGCCTGGGCCAGTGGGAGATGGCTGAGACTCTTGGGAAGGAATTGAGGTGGGTTCTTGGAGGTTAAGAATAGTAAGAAGAAAATTGGTAGGGGAGACCAAGGAAAAGCTGGGAACCAAGTGTAGCCATCTAGTGCATTTCAGAGTACCTCAATGGTGAGATCTGTGGGCCAATACAGGGAGGAATCTTTGAATACATCCTGCAGTAAACCACTTGTGTTTGCATGTGCAGTGACCTCCCATTGTGGGGTGGTCTGACACTTGGCGCTCTGGTAGCGCGAGACCTTCCTCCGTCCAGTCCCTCAAGGAGCATGCACACCTGAGGGGAGTCACTGACACCTGGGTGCGTAACTTTACTTTCAAATGGTCTTCCGTGTGTTGGCAGGGCCAGGTGCCTTGACGTCAAGCCCTTGAACAGGCTCGCAGGGGACTCTAAACACCCGCACGCTCCTGCATTAGCCCTGCCGGGATAGTCAGTGGTGCGGCTCCACGGCTGAGTGCGGAGGATTTGCATTGCCAAGAGAGGTGCAAAGCTGCATCTCCAAGGTTTGTCTCCGGATGGGCTAGAGGAAGAGTCTGGTGGTGCAGTGAATTGAGTCAAAGCAGGATATCTTTGTCCTTTATTCAGCAATTGTTTGCATCAGACTTGGGGCAGCGTATTCTCTCCCTTTACTCGGATGTCTCCTTCCAGGAACTCGAGTCCTTGAGAATTCCCCTGCCAATACACGGGTGGAAAATTATTTCATCTGGCAGGAAAGAAGATTCATTTTCTTCTAACAGGAAAAGATTTGTTAAGCACAGAGCTGTGATCCCAGCATATCTCTCTCCCCCAATCCATCTCTTCCTTTCTGCCTACAAATCAGAATAAGTTCATGTATCTGGTGTTTTACTTCCAGCCTTCTAAGGATTCTAATTTCCCAAACATCTTCTCCTCTTCCCGTGTCAGAAAGGACTTTTCAACCCCACCCCTCCTATGATCTTGTATGCAATTAGTCCAGCTCAGTCTTGGGTTTTGAAACCCTCTAAAATGACTAATCTTTACTTGTCAAGTTAGAATGAGCTTTTCACCCCATCCACACACCCCTCCATGTGCATATGCTCTTGCAGAAGCTTAAGTGTACAAAGGAAATCGTGGAGCGAGTCCACTCGGTCTGGAATCTTAAACTGGGCCAAGAAACGTCTGAGTAGAAGAATGGTCGGAGCCCAAATAACAATTGGAAACCAATGTTAAACAAGAGGCTAATGCTTCATTTAGCTGGATCAGCTGTTCGGCGGCGGTCCCTTTGAACCACGCATCCACGCGATTCAAAGGGGCAGCTTGGGGGCCCCGGGTCAGCTGTATCGGAGGCAGCAGCACAGGGCAACAGGCAGCCAGTCTCCCCACGCTGCTGCCTCTGATACAGAAGCAGAGTGTGGCGTGGCAGGGGGCTCCTTGAGTGGGGCCAGAGTGCACTGGCTGGGCACCCCCAGGAACTGGTAAGAATTCACAAGGTTAATTGCCTATTCAATGTGCCGATATTTAACACCCCTCGTTGGAACACTGAACCGAGTACGAGCTAACAGGCCCTTCTGTGCTGTCTTGCATACGAGGGCAGTGGGCAGCAAACGTTCCACTGGGGAGAGGTGGAGGTGGTCCTCTGCGGACAGAAGATTTGACCGCTCGCTTCTCTGGGGCCCTAGCCTGGCACCTGTAGAGCTGTTTGCTGGGAAGGATGGAGATAAAAGCTGATCTTACGTGTAGCTCAGTGGTTCACAAACTTTTTTTATACCTGGGTTTGCCAGTCCATTTCTCAAACTTTTGGTAGACGCTAACCTTTTATTTGTATATTCATTATGCAAATAAAACGTTACCAGTCCACAGAAAGTTTGCAAATGTGTTTGCTGGTCCGTGGTATAAAAAGCCTCGGCCCCCAGAGCCCGCCAGTGCCAGTCCTAACCCCTAGAGCCCCCCAGCACCAGCCACCGACCCCA